AAATTATAGCAGTTAGACTTAGTGATTGTCTTCCCCATGTGATTAGTAACAATCAGACAGCTTTTGTGAAAGGCATAGTCATTGGAGAAAACATAATGTTGGCCCATGAATTAGAGCAAAAATATAATTGGAAGAATATATCTCCTCGCAGTATTGTTAAAGTTGATTTGATGAAGACTTTCGATTCAGTTGACTGGCAATTTCTTCTGTCGGTTTTGGAAGCAATGGGGTTCCCTAATTTATTTTTAAGCTGGATCTCTATGTGTATTACTACCCCTAGGCTTAGTGTGGGGTTCAATTGAGGGGTAGTGGGGTATTTTGCAGCTAAAAAAGGTCTGCATCAAGGGGATCCACTCTCTCCTTATTTATTTGATGTGGCAATGGAGGTATTCAGTTGCCTTATGGAAGAAGAAGTCACTGAAAATAGATTGCCTTTTCACCCCATGTGTAAAAGGGTTGGTTTAACTCACTTAATGTTTGCTGATGACTTGCTGTTATTCTCTGATGGGTCTAACTTTGTTCTTCAATGCATTCAGAGAATACTGTCTGATTTCATAAATTTGTCAGGGCTTAAGTCTGTTCTTTATAGTTTAGAATAAATTGCTGAGTAGAATACAAAACTGTGGGTCAAAACTTTTGAGTTATGCTTGGAAGCTTCAACTGGTGATGTCTATTCTTTATAGTTTATTCCAATTCTGGATGGTGATCTTTGTTTTACCAAAGAAAGTGATCAAGGAAATTGAACAACTATGTAGTAACTTTTTGTGGGGGGTTGGCTCTGAAGGAAAACTTAGAGCAAATGTGGAATGGAGTAGACTCTGTTTTCCTAAGATAGAAGGTGGTCTGGGTATCAAAAATCTTGCTAGTTGGAATCATGCTTTTATAGTAAGGCACATCTGGGATCTCCTGTTGAAAGAATGATATCTTTGGGTGGCTTGGGTGACAGAATATAGATTGCACCATGTTAACTTCTGGACTGCAAATGGTAAATCTGGCTCTTGGATTTGGTTCAGGGGCATCTCTCGGTTATAAATGGAGTTGGTTCTTGGGATGGAAGGGTGCAGAAGAAGTTTCCACTAAAGCAAGTTTGGGAGTTCTTTTGCCCTAAGCTTTTTGCAGTGGCATGGTATAAGTTGGTTTGGAATCATCCTGCTATCCCCCGAGATCAATTTCTCTGTTGGTTAATCACTAAAGGTTATATCACTACAGGGGATAAGCTTCTGGGCTGGGGGTACCAGGGGAGCTTTAAGTGTGTCTTTTGTGATGCTGGAGGTGAATCTCATAACCATCTATTTGCTGAATGCAACAGATATAAGGATCTGTATCAATGCTTGTTTTCAAAGTTCACCAGTAGGCCCCCATCTAACAGTTGGGGAACAGAGCTTCAGTGGGCAGTGACTGCTTTCTCAGGTTCTAGTGCAGCTTGCAGAGTTAGGAGGCTCCTATGGCAATCTCTCCTTAGTGGCATTTGGCGTGACAGATGCAATGCAAAGCATGGGAAACCCATTTTGAGCTTGGAGAAAGTGCAGAAGAGGGTGAAGAGTGATCTGGAAGTGTTGTGTTCTGCTATCGATTTGGAGGTGTTCGAATGTGAATTATTTATTCTGATCTTGTTTTTTATCTTGGTGTAGATCTCATTAAAGTGTTGCAGTAGTAGAAGTGACCTAGTGGCAAGGGATGTTGCCACAAGTAAAGTCTTTTGATGAAATATAATCTATTAATCTTACCATTCATAAAAAAAAAAATATCAGTGGATGGTGTACTACGAGAAAAGAGTAGCATCCATCTTAATATATTGGAATGAGATAATCTCAAAACAAATAAGACAATAAAATATGAAAAAAGATGAAGATTTGCATACATTGATCATACTGTGATCTTACTCCAATATATTAGATTATGTAGAGAGACGATGACCGACCATGATTTTAACAGAGCTTCGTGCTGATAACGCGTTATGAAACTAATGGAAAATTTAAACAACTACAAGAAAAGATTAGAGAGGAAAGACACACAAAAAAAAAGAGAGAGGGGGAAGAGAACTTTCTTATTCATTCTCTACTTTTGATACAATGGTGTGCTCTATTTATAGGCCTCTTTGGTAACCACTACATCCTTATATCAATACATATGGATGAGAGATAATGACACATGAAGGAGATTTCAAATGTAGGAATAGGGGTTACTTGTAATTCCCAAGTGAGCACCTAATGTGATAATGGTTAATAGTCTCATTCATACATCAATGTGTACATAATATCTTTGGAATTCTTAATTGAGTATTTGAATATTGATGTTATATAAGTATGTCAATTTTCACAATATGTTTTGATTCAAGTACGAGAAGTAATTTTGGTGGTATGTTATATGTTATTACTCATATGTTAGATGAGATTCGATATAATTTATAAATATATGATATATAACTTTTTGGATAAATACAATATAATAGTCAAATCGTCAACTTTCTGTCTGGTCAACTGTTAGTTGACTTTGACGTGGCAATTTTATGACTGAGTTTGATGTTGAATAATGACGTGACAAAGAATCAACCTTTTGACTGTGCCATATGAATATTTATTAACTTATATAATAATTATTTATACAAACTAAAATATATAAAAATCTAAACCCCCTCTCTCCGTCCAACTCCCTTCAGCCTGGAAACTCCTCATATTCACTCTCCTTCCTTCCCTCGTCTCCTCCTCTGAAATCACCCTCCCTCTGCAACAACATCTCCTCCCAAGTCCCACCAACTTCCTTCCCTCATCTCCTCCTCTGAATCTGGGGGGAAGTAAGAAATCAGAATGATTTTGAGAGAGGTGATGAAATGGAAAATGGCAAAGAGGATCTGTAGAGGCGAAGGGAGAATGATTTTTGTGGAGGAAGAAAGAAGAACAGAGGAGGGAATTGAGAAATGAGTGGGACGGATGAGAGATGGAGATTTCTTTTTATTAATAACAGTTTTATTTTATTATTATTAATGGTAGTTGATAGTTTGAATTTTATTAATTTATTTAATATTTTATTAATTTTTAATGTCTACATGGAACCACGCCAGCAAAACATGTTGATTCACTAACGGGCAACATTATTAACTGTCTAATTTGACGAAGATTCACGAGTCGGGCCAATTGAATTTATATGGTGTATAGTTGAAATCAGAATGTTAATTTCTAAAAGGGTTAATACCCTAATTTGGCCCGAAGTTTGGCGTGAGTGTCAGTTTTGACCCGACTTTTCGAATAAGACATTTGTGGCATACTTTTAAAAGTATTGGGCTAATTTGGCTCGCATTTTGAATTGACCGTCAAGATTAACGGTCAACGATTTTTTCGCTAGTGACTCAACATCCAGTGTTGAGGTGGCTGCCACGTGACTGCCATATCATTCATTTATATTAAAATAATCCTAAAATTTTTGAAAAATAAAACCAAGAAATTAAAATTTAAAAAATAAAGGACCCTTTCATCTTCTCTCGTCCCACCTCCAACCCGATCCCCTCAAATCCTCAATTCTTCCTATAAAAAAAAATCCTCAATTCTTCTTCACAATTCACCCTGATCAAACAAATGGACGTGAGATGAGATTATATATTTTTGGTTATGGTTTGAGATGTAGAAGGAGGTGGTTATGGGGGTACAGAGCTGAAGAAGACGCGGTGGGGTTCGAGCACAACGGCGGGATCCTCCCAACAAACGCCGCTGGGTTGAAAGGGAAGATGTAGATGTAGAAATCTTCTCGGCTAGGCAGTCACGGATCTTAGCCTCTATTCCTCTTACTCGATGTCGACGCAAACTCAGGCGGCGATCTGGATTGGAGGTCGGAATCTCGGGCTTTACAATCGCCTTCGTTTTTTGACTGTTGGCCGCCTTCTTCCTATAGATCTAGAGCCAACGACGGAAATAAGCTGTTGTTGTTGCTACTGCTGGGCAATTAAGAAATCAGACCATTGACGCTGGGGTCAGGTTTCAGAAGACGGATTGAAGATTGTGGCGGAAGGTAGTAGGAATTTGGGGGATTTTGGGGAACGGAAGATGGAAGTGGCGGTTCATTTCTCCTTGTTTGCCAGATAAAGATGGAAGCGGAGGATTGAAGATTTTGCTGGCACTTCTCCTCAATCGACGGCCTCGCCGGCGGCTTCGCCACCCACTTCCTCCCTTTCTTTAGACGGTAATCGAGCCCATAAAGCTCGACATCACTGTCGGGCTCGACATAACTATCATACACACCACTGCGATCATGACCTGGAGATCCAATCGCTTCACAAACTCTCCAACATGTCGATTTGAGCTGACTCCTAGATTGGATTTTAGGGATTTGTTGTTTTACATTTTCGATTGTTTTTTTTTATTTTCAGTTTTTTAATTTTTTCGTTCAAGCTAAATAAATGACATGGCAGCCACGTCGTAGCCACCTCAGCATTTGTTCCTGAATCATTGACGGTATCAATATTTGACTGTTAATTTTAACAGTCAACATAATTTTCGGGTCAAATTTGTCCAATACTTTTAAAAGTAGGCCACAACTGTCTTATTCGAAAAGTCAGGCCAAATCTGACATTTACGCCAAATTTCGGGCCAAATTAGGATATTAACCCTTTCTAAAATAAGGGGTCAAAATTAATTATATGGGTTATAGTTCAAATCAGAATATATTTACCCTAAATTTTCTTATATTCAAACTAATCGAGGTAAAGCGGCCATTAACCTCTGGATTGGGACAACGGAACAAACCGAGTTAACAACCTTGCTCCCGAAAGATTTCATTCTGCATTGCCAACCATCGGATTTTCTTTCACCCACCTCCGTGAAATCTTCATCATCTCTGCTCAGCAACGTACCGTACCGTACTAAGCATCTGGTTGGCTGTTCTCGATTTCAAGGCGGCTCCGCCATCTTCGCTTAGCTTCTTTCAACCCCATTGCCACCACCGTCCCTCGTTTGAATTCAACTTCAAGGCTGCCCTCGGTCTCCCTCCCACCTCTGAATCTGCTGCTAATGCTCACTTCTTTCGGCCAGCGCGCATTTGTCCTGCGCCTCCAGGTAATCAGAAACTCGCCCTAGGGATTTCACCTTCATCGAGCTTATTGACGTGATGATTGTTTCTCTCGCCTGCAAAGATGGAAGCAGTCTGCTCAAACACATCGGATAACCACTGCCTGCAGGACTTGCCTTCACCAAGATGGAAACAGTCTGCAACCAGGCACGGCTGCCAGATCCTTGTCGACCAGTCACGCACCCTTAAGATGTGGACTTGCCCTTCAGGCAGGCTGCAGAAGAGGCAATGCAGGCTAACACTTTCCAGCTTCCCCTCCAAATTTGCACAGGTAGGAAGAAACCCTCTTCCTACTCTCCAAATGAAGAATCGAACTTGTGGTTGGATAGTGAGCTTCTATAGTTTAGACCAAAGCTCCTTGAAAAGGCCAGGGATAGGAACGATTCGTAGAGTAGTGTTGGCTTTTCGTTTCGTGATGTATACCGATTTAACGTTGTTAACACCATTGTCAGTTCTCCTCCATACCCAGAAGAGGGAAATTCTTACAGCTCGAAGAGAATGTCAAGAAACCAGCATATATGGCGAGGCAAGTAAACCAGTGCGACGGGATCTCCATTGCTACTGATCTCATCGACTTCTTGAATGCTTCCCCCACAGCTTTTCATGCCGTTGGTGATCAAAGCCTCTTCTCTCCGGTCCCTGTTTGTTTCTCTGACAAAGTCGTCCCAGAGTCGAGCACTCTGACTTCCAATGTGTTTCTTATCGAAAGTTTGCCTGTCTCTCATCCTCCTTCTTCGGGTTTTCTTCAGACGAGGCGAAGAGGCGATTGAGAAATGTGGGATTCGAGCAGGTGTCCGAGAAGGAAGATTGGAAATTGGAAGCTGGAAAGCGCTACTTCTTCACTCGGAACCACTCCACCATCGTTGCTTTTGCCATTGGTAACAGGTAGGTGTCTCTTCATTCTTCTGTTCCTGATCGGAGCTTGTTGTTTCTTCATATGCTCTCGAAAGTTCCCAATTTCTAGCCTTAAGGAAGATAACCGGTGTTTTAAACTTTTGTGCTTTGATGCTAAACCTGATTGTGGTGTGTGTGTTTTGTTGATGGTGTATAGGTATGTTGCTGGCAATGGATTCCACGTAATTGGTGCTCATAGTGATAGTCCTTGTTTAAAGCTGAAGCCTGTCTCCAAGGTAAGCCTTCTTTGCCCCAGGCTGCTAGCCATTTAAGCTGAATAGTGAACCACTTTGTTTGTAGATTTTTCTCTGGCCACCATCACTTTAAATTTGTACTTCTGAAACTGGTGGATTTGTCCAGGTAACAAAAGCTGGTTACTTAGAAGTTGGAGTGCAACTATATGGAGGAGGTCTATGGCATACATGGTTCGACCGTGACTTGACAGTGGCAGGGCGGGTTATAGTGAGAGAGGATAAGAATGGCACTATTTCCTACTCACATAAACTAGTTAGGATTGAGGAACCTATTATTCGGATCCCTACTATTGCAATTCACCTAGACAGGTTTGCTTCTGTGATAAACTACACTGAAGTATTGTGAATTGTCAACTGGATTTTACTTTCTCACACATGCACCAGCTTCTTGCTATTGGCTGTTGTTTGTGGTCAAGTTTCTTGGGTTTTTGTTTTTGTTTTATAACTTTCTTTTCTCTTTGTGGAATTTTACACATTGTCTTGTGATTGAACAGGACTGTTAATAGTGAGGGATTTAAAATTAACACACAGAGCCATCTGCTACCAGTCTTGGCTACACTAGTTAAGGTAATCTTTGGATCTTATGATCATCATTTGGTGTTTCGGTGTCTTGTCTCTAAGTCCCAGAAAACTGCTTTCTGGTTTTCCTCCGTATAATAAAACCTGAGTGTTGGTTGTGTGCTCAAAGAAATGTCTTTTATGATTCATCATTGCTAGATCCACCCCCTTTAAGTTGTTAGGTTATGCTAAGTCATCATATCTCCATAATATGTTCCACGTTTGATTAGGCTTGAGGGCCATATAGAAACACTGTTTACATGACATGCGATTACTTTGTGATTGAGAGATCCACTCCCTGCCAATTATTTAGGTTATGTTTAGTCATAATACCTCAATCATATGTTCGAGGTTTGAGTTGGCTTGAGGGCAATAAACAAAGCCACCTAATAATCAATTATTAAACCATAGCAGGGTGTCGAACATGTCTTAAGACTTTCATGAGGCTATAATGTAGTTTTACCTACTGAAACAACTTGGCTGCATAACACCACCACAATTACACTAAAAGCATGTTCTTTGGTTTGTCAGTTACATTTAGCGAGGAACTGCTGTTTTGCAGGCCGAGCTTAACAAAGTGGCAGTTGAAAGTGGCCGTGCTGAAAGTAGGGAAAACAATAATGAACAAATATCCACTGAAGACAGTGGAAAAGGTAACTTGAAGCATCATCTAGTTCTATTACAGGTTAGTCAATCTAACTGATGACCTCTCACTTTCTTCCAGTTTTTAGCAACCTTGAGCCTCTTTAAGATTGTTGCTTTGACCTTGCCTTTTTTATGAATAACCTTGCCTTTTTTCACTCTTAATAAAGGATATTTATTGGAGTGGAGTTTAGATATGAATAATATTTTGGCTTTCGAGGATATCTCATTGTTTGCTTTGCTCGGGAACTTCCTGCAGATCATTGCAAGTAAAATCGGGTGTAAACCAGATGATATATGTGATTTTGAACTGCAAGCTTGTGATACACAGCCAAGTGCAATAGGTGGTGCTTTGAAGGAGTTCATATTCTCTGGAAGGCTTGATAATCTGTGCATGTCATTTTGCTCATTACAGGTATAAGATTGCCTTATCTCTTAACACATTGCTTTCCCAATTTACCATCGAATATCCTGAATTCACCTTCTTAGTTTGCATTGGATAAAAAGAATGTGTGGTAGTCTCCTCTGTTATTGTGTTGTGGCTCTATCTATAAAAACCTTAAGTACAGTTTGATAGAAACACGATCTTGGGCACCCACGATTATTTGTAACTGGATAGAATAAAAGAGGTTTATGGATTTGAGAGAGAGAATTAGGGATTTGGAAGAGAAATAACATAATTGGTGATTAGGGATTTGAAGAAGAAATTGACCAAATAAGAGGAAATGGTCAGCAGCCTTAGGAATAGGAGAGATGAAATTTCAAAGGATTGAGAGAATAGAGTTTTGGGATACTTTTCTTATTACTCTTCTTAATAATCTGAAAGGCATAACATCATACATACTTATAGAGAAATAACTGAAACTCTAACTATAAAGAAAACATACTTTTCTTATTATTCTATCTAAGCCGTGTAATAGCAAACATGCCATCCATCCCCTTCAAAAGATAAGGAATTTTACAATGATTTTAGCATCGGTGTTTATTTTTACAAAATAAAGAAAAAACTTTTATTGTACAGACGGAGTTTGTATCTTTAATGTTATTGTACAAATTCAATTTGTACCCTTTGGCCCTTTCCCCCCTAAAAGAATGAGGAATTTTACAATGTTTAATAGCATTCGTGGTTTCGTTTACAAAACAATTATTTTATGGTATAAACGTACCTTTATGGTTATTGTACAAGTTGAGTTTGTACAAACTGAATTTGTAATTTTATGTTATTGTACAAACTGAACTTGTACCATAACATAAAAGTGCAAATTGTTTTATGGTACAAACTGAACTTGTGCATTTTACATTATGGTGCAAGTTCAATTTGTACCTCGACAAAACACAATATTTTAGAGTATAGTAGAATGGCTAAAAAAAAATCCCAAAATCAATTTAACTAGAACTAGGATGCAACTTTTCGCTTAGGGATGAGTAGAAAATTACTACGTGATTCTTGAAGCTAGTGTATGCACCTCGTCTGCTGATGCCTTGACACTCTATCCGAAGAAAACATATTTGAAGTCCTGTCATCTCATATGATCTAGTACATTCTCCCTTGTCTTGGTTGTGTCGTGAAGGTTCAAAATTTATTTTTTCCTGAGGTCAGGGACATAGATGTAGCTCTTTAGACATGTCTGCGCTTGTTTCAATTCCAGGCGTTGATAGATGCAACATCTACGGAAAGTGAGCTGGAAGACGAGAGTGGGGTTAGAGTGGTGGCATTGTTTGATCATGAGGAGGTTGGATCTGAGTCGGCACAAGGAGCTGGATCTCCTGTCATGCTAGATGCTCTATCACGAATCACAAGCTCCTTCAGCTCAGATTCCAATGTGCTCTTCTAATTCTGAATTTTACTACAATTACATGGGGTAGACACATAATACAACTTGGTCATTTATGTTTTCCCCCCCCCTGCTATTCGTTGACAGCTTCTTCAAAGGGCAATCCAGAGTAGCTTCCTTGTGTCTGCTGACATGGCCCACGCAATTCATCCTAACTATTCGGTAAACAATCTCTTGCTCGAAATGACACGAATAGTTTTCACTCAGATATGCGTATCTGAATATGTAGCGCGTGACATGTCTCAGGACAAACACGAAGAATATCATCAGCCCAAGTTGCATGGAGGCTTGGTGATTAAACACAATGCTAATCAACGCTATGCAACAAATGCAGTAACCTCTTTCATTTTTAGGGAGATAGCATCAAAGCACAACCTTCCTGTTCAGGTGTGTTTCTCTCTCCAGTTTTGAGTTTGGCTGTAGTAGTGACTTTGGCCGCATGATGATGGTTAAACCGCGCAATTTTGCTTGCGGAAAGTAACGTGTTCTACTGTGAAACAAATGCAGGATTTTGTGGTACGGAATGATATGGGATGTGGCTCAACCATAGGTCGGATCCTGGCCAGTGGGTTGGGTATCCGTACAGTTGACGTGGGGGCTCCTCAGCTATCCATGCACAGCATTAGAGAGATGTGTGCAGTGGATGATGTGAAATACGCGTATGAGCATTTTAAGGCATTCTTCCAGGAGGTTGGTCACCTTCATGCCAAGATTCTGATCGACGACATTTGATATGGCTCTCTCTCAATGCCTGTTGGGGAAAATGGTTTCTCCTCTCAAAGGAGTGCTTAATATTTTAGAGTTTGTTATTAGACACTACTTATTCTACAAGTTGATGAAAAACCAATTGCCTATAGTCTCCAAATTCGGGGGGAATAAATGAACAAGTCTTCCTTCCGACGTATTGTTCGAGTGTGCTGCTTACAACATATACCATTGCGTTACAGAATCATACTAATACAGTACGTTACAAGCCACCACATCATATGCAAAACTAAATTGAGCTAAAGCTGCAGTATATTTATTCTCTAAAAGTGCGGCTCAGCAGTTAAATGCCCTCAACAATGGTTTGGTATAGTAGCCGAAAATTGCAGCCAAAATAACCAGGAAACAGCAGAACAGATAACACAAATGACATTGGTCCACTACATATCACGAGCAAAAGGGCAAAAGGAAAAAAATTCCCTCTTGAATCCTAAAGTAAAGCCGACTTGCTTTCGACAGGCACACTATCAAGAAAGCACTTTCTCAACCTCGACTGTAACCTCTTTGGGAGGTTTCTCGGCATGAAGATCCGCAACAACGCCCTTCTGCTTGTAATAGCTAATAACCTACATTTAAGCAAACAATTATAACGTATGAGACTCGCACATGGTCAATAGTGTGAACATTTAACGAGGCCAATAGCTTCCCAAGCATAATATGCAAAGCATACCCCAAAATAACCAGTTTACCCAGCGATTCAAGAACCTAAGCCTAGATCACAGAGGGCTAAAAAAATGGAAGAGAATATACTGGTTCAGTCTGCTTGTGGAAGGCATCCAGCCTTGACTTGAGGACTGCAGCGGTGTCATCTTTCCGTTGAATCAAATGCTCTCCAGTTACCTTGACAAAATTAAATCAACCATGTTTTTGTCAACATCTTTTGAAATCAACATGAATTAATCTTGATTGCGCAACCCAGGTCCAGAGACAAAGATTGCTTCTAAGAGATAGGCACCAATAAGCCAAAAAAAGAAACACCTAATAGTGGAAGGACATATATCTAATTTGGTAATTGATTCTTACTACTCAAGTTGAAGGATATTCAGGTAATTACTATTCTGTTCGTAGAATGAGTGGACTCTGAATGAGCATTTACAAGGTAAAAGTTACAGCAATAAAATAAAAACCAGTTTTCCTTACATCATCAACGCCTGGAGTCTTGGGAGGTGCAAATTTCGTGTGGTAGGTTCTACCACTAGAAGGGTGGATCCAGCGACCCGTAATCCTCTCTTCCAAAATAGCATCATCAATAGCAAAATTCAGCACCTTATCAACTTTAACTCCTTGCTTCTCAAGCATCTCATCAAGCTGAAATATGAAGTCATATATTATTAGAACTTTGCACGTGGATACCTTGCCAAAACACAATATAGAATGATATTCCATGAAACACCTTCTGAGCTTGGACCACAGTCCTAGGAAACCCATCAAGAATGAAGCCCTTCTGACAAGAGGGCTTCTTGATTGCTTCATCGATAATTCCAACGACCAAGTCATCAGAAACAAGTTGTCCCTGAAGAAAAAGGAAATTCCCAATACTCAATTTAGTATGTTCTGCAATTAGCAGAAGGAAGAAGAAAATAATGATTTAGAGTGTCTTCGACCTTGTCCATAGCCTCCTTAGCCTTGACTCCAAGAGGAGTTTTAACTGCAACAGCAGCTCTCAACATGTCCCCAGTGGCCAAGTGACATAAGCAGAACTCATCCTTGATTATTGGAGATTGAGTGCCTTTCCCTGACCCAGGAGGACCTGCCAATCATACAATCCGAACCCCTTTTGAATTAGAAGAATCACCACACAGAAATTGGGAAGCCACATGGGCTGATAGGACTTCAAGAAGATTTGCTCACTGGTTTGGAAACAAAACTGGAAAGGGAAGTGACTGATTTAATGACCATCTCTGTTACAAGAATTCTAAGAAATCATTCATGATATATGAAATACGCTATACAATCAGAATCAAGTTTCCTGTTGGAGAAGGAACAAAACGATATACGCTATACCAATTAAACCAAGGTAATCAGAGGATCCAGCGGCCACATTTGCATTGTTATCTACTATTGAGGAACGATTTCGAATATCAGCACCTTAAAAGCTTGCCCTTGAACATTAAAAGATCTAATATATATCAATGCAAATTTTAAACCAGGATGAAGCTGTAGGCAGCATTGTATTCCTTCTCAACTGCAATAACAGACCTCTCGATTGTGTTGAAAGGCAATGAACTACTATTCAACAATGCACAAGGATAAACCAAAGAGAAAGCTTGTACTTCACACATCGATATATCTGTGAACCCAAACCGGAAGCTACATGGATGCAACGAAACGCCAACTGAGACAAGTAACAAAGAAGCACACTGTGTATCTCTCAAGACCCAGCTGTTAAACCGTGCAAGACCCTAAAAATAAAAGGCATTCACTCAAATCATACCGGCAAACCCCATGGTAAGTTGAAACGTTGACTTATCCTCGACGACTGGGGCAAATTGAATGGACCAACCAAAATTCGATAGGGAAGACAACTTCATAAAAATTCTTGAACAAATCAAATTGGAAGCAATCAGATCTGAGGAAATAAACAGGACCCAGAACACCAATTACGCACAGCAAGCGCCGGCTAGGGTTTCATTACCCAGTCTGATAGCTGAACAACGACAGAGGGAGAGGGGGCGAAAAAAACGAAAGGGCAGGCGTTAGGAAATGGATATACCGATGAGAATGAGACGCTTGTCAGGCTTGGAAGCGCACTTCATGCGGCGGAGAAGCTCGGTCATAAGATCCATTGAGGGAACATCTTCCAAAGTCGCCGCCGAACTGCTCGCCATTCTCACAAAGGGGAAAGGATGCTGAACTCGGTTGCGGAGAGGAGCGACAAGGGATGAAACGCAAGAGGGTTGGCAGGATGAGAAAAGTAAAAGGACGATAAAGAAAGTTTGTTCAAATTAAAATTAAAAAAATAAATAAAAAAGAGAGAGAACTGAGAAGGAAGTTCGGTGCTTTACTTGCTTCGCAGTGTCTCTTCGGTCTGACGGACCTTCCAATGCTGTCAGTCGGAACTCGGAAGAAGAGCAATCTGGGCTCGCGGTCTCCGTCTCTCACCAAACGCTTTCCAACCACTTTCCTACTATTCTTAAATTACATTTTAATCCAATTACTTCGAGAATTGGATCCAATTAGGAATGGCAATGGGTCGGGTTGGGCGGGTTTTGTCAAACCCAAACCCATGAGTTTATCCGTCAAAAAAATCCGGGGTAAAACCCGTTGAGTTTGAAAAACTCAAACCCAACTCAACCCGCTGGGTATCCGCGGGTTCATGGATACCCGTGCGTTTTTCTAGTAAAGAATTTAGAATAACAAGTTTCTTTCAAAATAAAAGTTTAACATCAATTTTTTCATACAAATTAATCATACAAAAAACACCAATCTAGAGCATACCAGCAAACCGCAAATGATCAATACAAATTATTCAAAATTAAAGATAAACATCTATAAACAATAAGATTAATTGAAAGCTTCTTCCTCGTCAACTAAGTTTCTTCACTCTTCGCCTCATAATATCAACTTCATTCTAAACAATTAGAAAGAACAAACTATGCATGTCTCCACCAACATAAAGAATATTAGTTGTTTAATGAAGATATATTATTTAGAATATTAAATATACCGGGAAAGTAATTATATGTGTATGGAAGGGTACCCATGGGGCGGGTTTACCTAAACCCAAACCCAACCCGACCCGGCAAATAGTGTAGCGGGTTTAAACCCGAACCCGGCCCAAAACCCGTCAACACGGATTTTACCCGCGTTGACCGGGTTGGGTCGGGTGGGCACCCGTGGGTTCGGGTTTTGTTGTCATCCCTAAATCCAATTCCCACCATATATTACCAAATCCAAACGACCTCATAGTCATGTTTCGCAGAAGTTATTCTACTAACTGCTAGATCTGTTAGCATATACTAATAGGCTCAGATTTGATGCCACGTCGGGCCAGTTAAAATCCAACGGAGGAGAGAGGCAGGTTTTGGTGGCTCACTTAAGTGAGCCAATAATGGGCTTGTGGGTATAACTCGGCCCATAATGGGCTTGGAGAACACGCCGAAGAAGAAGTTTTGTGGGCCCGCTTCAGTTTGGGCGGGATTTTGGAAAGGAATGGAGAGAGAACGAAAATTGTGAGCCTGCTTATCCATGTAATATTTATGTATGTTTGTTTGTGTGGATATTTATTTGTTTTCAGCCGATATTAATCTGTGTTGTGTTGATATTACTTTGTATTATTGTTGAAATAAACAAGTATTCTTTCTTCGCAAACCAATATCCATCATTCAACTAATGTTTACCAAACCCCAATATAACTCAACCACCCGAAACTGATTATACCAATTTAGAGTTTAGGTTTTAGGGTTCGGATTTACGATTTAGAGTTTAAGGTTTGGGTTTACGGTTTAGTCTGGACAATTGACAAACAAAATTTTGCATGAACTGATATTATATGCGATGGATATTGTGTCTTCCATCAAATTTAAACACGCTATCAAGTCCTAACACATAAGGCATGCAACCTTAGTTAGGGCTGGCTGCCGAGGGCCCATGAAATAATAATAGCTTTTATGGTTTAGGGTTTACTGATTAGGGTTTTAGTGTTAGTGTTTAGTTTTTTTAGGGTTAGGGTTTATTAGTCTTGTGGTCGTTTGAAATAAATGGATATTAGTTTATGTGGTTCGGATATTAGCTTTGGGTTGAATTGATATTAGTTCATGTTTTTGGATATTTTTGTGGGACGTTTGGATACGTCTAATGTAGCACTTTTGATAACTATTCCGATGTGATCCTTTGTTTATTTAAGCATATGAAATAATAATAGTTTTTATGGTTTAGAGTTTAGTGATTAGGGTGTTAGTGTTAGGGTTTATTTTTTTAGGGTTAATGGTTTTGTTATTAGTTTTGTGCTCGTTTGCAATGAATGGATATTAGTTTACGTGGTTTGGATATTAGCTTTGGGTTGAATTGATATTAGTTCATGCTTTCGGATATTTTTCTGGGACCTTTGGATATTCTAATGGGCACTTTCGATAACTATTTCGATGTGATCCTTTGTTTATTTAAGCATCTAGCACTTTTGGTAACTATTCAGATTAGTCTACAACTATCATATATTAGTTAGTATGTGGTGGATATTAGTCTGTCATAGTGATAATATCCATTTTGGGATCACATGATATTCTTCTGAGACAGAAGGATATTAGACTGGGTGGTGTGAATATTCGTTTTAGTTTTAGTATTTAGGGTTCATTAGTTCATGTTTTCGGATATTTTTTTGGGACGTTTGGATATTCTAATGGGACACTTTTGGTAACTATTCTGATGTGATCCTTTGTTTATTTAAGCATCTAGCACTTTTGGTAACTATTCAGATTAGTGTACAACAATAAGATATTAGTTTGTGTGTGATGGATATTAGTCTATTATATATGGATAATCTTACTTTTGGGATCACATGATATTTTTCTAAGACGGTGAGATATTAGACTGGGTGGTGTGGATATTCTTCTGGGTAGTGTGGATATTCATTTTAGTTTTAGGGTTTAGGGTTCATTAGTTCATATTTTCGGATATTTTTCTGTGACATTTGGATATTCTAATGAGACACTTTTGGTAACTATTCCGATATGATCCTTTGTTTATTTAAGCATCTAACACTTTTGGTAACTATTCGGATTAGTGTACAATAATAAGATATTAGTCAGTGTGTGATGGATACTAGTCTGTTGGATTATGGCGTGGATACTTTTTTGGAGCCATCCGATACTATTGTTAGGGTTTTAGTGTTATGCTAACAAAAAAGGGTTTGGTGTTCGAGTAGATTCGGAGTAGTGATTAGGGTTTTAGTGTTAGAGGTTTAGTTTTTTTAGGTGGTCGTCTTGTGGTCGGATATTAAACTGGGTGGGGTTTGTATTTGCCTTGCAATGAATGGATATTAGAAGGGTGTTTATGTGGACGTGTATAACATTGGACCTCACAGAACTAATATGAGAGCATAATATCCAGACAGCGCAGATTAATATCCATACATTTCATAACTAATATCCAGACCTAACATAATAATATTCCAGAATAACAATCATTAGGCATATGGATAGTCCAGACTAATATCCATATAGGGCATACAAATATCCAGACCTAGCATACAAATATCCATGCATCATGGCCATGCTAAATATCGACATTCAACAAACTGGTATCCCAAACATTTTAAATAATATCTCAGATCAACAAACTACCATATTAACGAGCAAAACTCGGAACCCCCAAAACAATATCCACATTCAACAAAATGGTATCCCAGGCATGCTAGATAACATTCACGATCGACAAACTACCTTATTTAACGAGCAGAACTCAGAATCCCCCAAACAATATCCATATTCAACAAACTGGTATCCCACGCATGCTAAATAATATCACATGTCAACAAACTAGTATATTGACGAGCAAACTCAGAACCCCCCAAACAATATCCACATTCAACGAACTGGTATCCCAAGCATGCTAAATAATATCCCAAGTCAACAAACTACTATATTAACGAGCAAAACTCAGAACCCCCCAAACAATATCCACATTAAACGAACTGGTATCCCAAGCATGCTAAATAATATCCCAAGTCAACTCAGAACCCCCCAAACAAATCTTTGTTTTCCCAGCATGATGCGTCTGGATTGAGCCAATGATGTGTCTCTGCCTGCCCTTCTCTTGGAGGAGCTGGCATCAAACACCTTTTTGATATTGTAATCTTGCACAATTCCTGAAAAGAGCTAATATCATTGAACTAATATCCATACAGGGCATAAAAATATCCAGACCAAGCATACAAATATCTATGCATCACATAACCAATATCCGAACAATCAACCACCAAACAATATCCACATTACACTAAATGGTATCCCATGGCAGCTAAACAAATTTCCAGGTCAAAAAATATCAAATTAACGAGCAAAATCCAGAAACCCCCAAACAATATCGAAATTCAACAAACTGGTATCCCAGACATGCTAAATAATATCCCAGGTCAACAAGAATCCCGGATCTCCCAAATCGAATCTCAGATCCCAGCCAAAGAAAATCCCAGATCCCCCAAATCGAAAGAATCCCAGATTCCCCAAATCGAATCCCAAGGCACAGAAAGCGAATCTGAAATCCCGCGGCAAGAATCCCAGATCCCTGATGACGAATCTCAGATCCAAAAAATGAAAAAAAAAACTCAGATCCAATCGAATCCATGAAACTCTAAATCAAATATATGTGATCCAACATTCGTATCTATGAAGCAAAGAAGGAGAAGGGTAAGACGCCTACCTCAAAGACATTAGTCTTCTTCTTTCCCAAATCGAATCTCAGATCCCAGCCACAGAAAATCCTAGATCTCCCAAATCAAAAGAATCCCAGATCCCCCAAATCGAATCCCAAGGAAAAAAAGCGAATCTCTAATCCCCCGGCAAGAATCCCAGATCTCCAATGACGAATCTCAGATCCAAGAAATGATGCAAAAAAAAAAGAACCTAGATCCAGTCGAGTCCATGAAACCCTAAATCCAATGTATGTAATCCAACATTAGTATCCATGAATCAAAGAAAGAGAAGGGTAAGACGCCTACCTCAAATACGTTAGTCGTCTTCTTTTCCTTTGTTCAGCGAAGGCTACAGTAGTTGAATCTACCTTCACCGTCTCGTTGGTGCCTTCAAAGTCGTCGTCGTTGCTGCTGCCGTGAAAGCCACCGTCGTCGGAGAGCTTTTGTGGTTGTGAGAGGGTTTCGTTATCGAGAGAGGAAGGGAAGATGAAGCTTTTTTGAATTTTGGAGAGAGGAAAGGGATGAACAAAATGGTGGAGAGAGAAGTGAAAAGTGGTTTTTATTGAGAAAGCGGTTGAATTTGAAAAACGTGGGTCCACTTTTCTTTACAGGTGGAATGGGGCTTGATTAAGCTGAGGTGGTCAGCCACTCCTTCCCCTCACATGCTGGCGCCGATCCTTCCTCACCCTCATATCGCGGCTCGGCCACGTGGGTAGCAATCCCACCCTATTAGTATATACTAACTCTTTACCCAGTTAGCAGAATAACCCTATTGGT